ACGGGACCTCTGTACGAGGTCCCGATCATGTGATCACTGATTGGCCAATCAGTGATCACATGCAAAGTAGTAAGCAAGATGTCACTTGTGACATCATTGCTTGTTATGTGTGAAATCTGTGAATGATCACAGAGGTCACATGGTACAAGGCTATTCACAACAGCCTTGTACCATGTGACAAGCTGTGACCAATCACAGCTCACTCAGTAGTTCTCAATAGAAGCAAGAATGCAGACAGAGAGAAAGAGAAATGATTGCTTTTACATCCTATATGTGTGTAAAAGCAATCAGTGTAATAAAAAAAAAAAAATCTTCATCACCCCCCAAAAGTAGTACAGTATCATCATGGTGACACTGTACTGCTAGGGTGACAGTATGTAAAAAAAAAATAAAATAAATAATAATCTAAAAATAAAAATGTAAAAAAAAAAAAATGTTTCAAAAATTATAATTTTTGGTTATAAACTAATTTGGCTTATTTTTTGTTTTTACTAAAAAGATAATGGAATACATTTTGGCCAAGATTTATGATGAAATATTACTTATTTGCTAAATTTTATAAGAAAAACGTTTTTTTCAAAAAAAATTTTGGACATTTTCATTTACATAGCAAAAAAAATAAAAATCCCAGCGGTGAATAAATACCACCAAAATAAAGTTTTATCTGTCTAAAAAAAATGGTAAAAAATTCAAATGGGTACAGTGTTGCATGACCGCACAACTGTCATTCAGAGTGTGATAGCGCTGAAAGCTGAAAATTGCCCTGGTCAGGAAGGGGGTAAAAGTGTCCGGACTGGAAGTGGTTAAATACTTTACTGCTCAACTTCTGTTCACCAGCACCAATTTGCAGTCAAAATACTACTATTTGGTATGTATCCCCTAGCTGTCTTAGCGAAATCAAGGAATCTTTATTTTCAATTAGAATTAAAGTGTTACTAAACCCAGGACCCTGCATTCACCATATTTGGTCTCCCACAGTACACAGAACATGGAAATGCAATTAGTTTAGTAAATATAAACTGCTAAACACCTTTTCTTATCATTAGTATATAACAGTCTTGTGACATCAGTGTTGAGCCGAGCACTGGGTAAAGCCAGTAGGAAGAGTTTTCATTCTGCTCTGACTGTCCTATGTGGCTGCATGATCCCTGACCCTCTGTCCGGACAGTGCCGATTGGCCCTGAGCTGATCACATGCACCTTCCAAAAAAAAAAAATCTTGCAATTCATACCAAACTGAGCATGTGCAGACTGCCTCCTAGAACTCTGTACTATCAGCAGATGGATTGAGGACTGTGGAAAAAGGGGCAGATTAGAGAAGACAGGATCAACAGCCTTTTTATACACACAAAAGATTAACAACTTACTTTCGACAGTGAGAATAACAAGCACGCTTTACTGCATATATAGGCTGATTTTACTGTTTTGGGTTTAGAAACACTTTAATTTGGAATGAATTAAAATTAAACAATGTACATTATCATTTATCCAAAATAACAAAAGAAAAAAAGCAAACCTGTATCAAAAATAAAACTGTTATACTGTGCAGAGATATCTAGACATTATCTTTAATATTACCTGACAAAAGTTTTAACAAGCATTCAACAAGTTTTAAAAAGCCAGCCCACAGCAGTCTTTTAGATGGCATCACAGTTAACGCCTCCACAGGAACTGCCATTACAAATTAATATACCAGCACCATTTCAGGGTAGGTGACTGAAAGGTCACTGTGAGACATACTGTATATAAGGCAGTAATACAAGACATACTGTATATAAGGCAGTAATATGGGGGGAGCTTATCTCCCAAGGTGTCCACATGAAAAAATGAGGAAAGCAGATATATTACAGCTTATTCAGGAAATATGTATTCTGGAAAACAAACACAAGATTGGAAAACGAAAAACACAAGCTGAATGTCTTCCACTTTAAACTACCAACAACTTAGACAGCCATACTCAGTAAATATATAGATATTTGTCCCACAAATTTTATGAACAGGAAATAAGTCTGGTAAAATAAGACTAACCCTAAACTCCCCCACAAGCTTTTACAGCTTTTACAGAGCTTGATCACCCAACTACCTCACTAGGACTAAAACACACGAAGTCCTCCAGAATGGGAACAGCCCTGGCATATTATTAAAAAAAAGGGACCCTTCCAACTAACCTACCTAGCACACATAATTCTAATCCCAAAAGAAGGAAAATATCAGGTTCTGTGCACAAATTACTGTCTGGTTTTCCTGTTACATAGTTAGTCTGGCTGAAAAAAGACAAAAGTCCATCCAGTTCAACCATAAAAAAAGAAAAAAAGTTATAATCCCCTACCCACAGTTGGCCCAAAGGAAGGCAAAAATACCCAGCAAAGCATGATCTAATTTGCTCCTGCAGGGAAACAAATTCCCTCCTGATCCCCCGAGAGGCAATCAGATATTCCCTGGATTAACTTTACCTATAAATGTTATATCCAGTTATATTCTGTGTATCTAAGAAATAATTAAAAAAAAAATTAAAGCAATCCACTGACCTGGTCAGAACCAACTCTTGAGGGAGTCTAGTCCACATTTTCACAGTTCTCACTGTAAAGAAACCTTTCCGTGTTTGGAGATTAAATTTATTTTCCTCCAGATGTAGAAAGTGTCCTCTGTGATGACCCCAGGTGAATAACGTTACACCGAGTTCACTATATGAACCACTGATGTATTTATACATGTTGATCCCCCCTTAATCTCCTCTTCTCAAGAGAGAATAAATTCACTTCCTCAAATCTTTCCTCATAGCTGAGCTCCTCCATGCCTTTTATCAGTTTGGTTGGCTTCTCTGTACTTTCTCCAGTTCCCCCACATTCGTTTTGTGAATTGGTGCCCAAACCTGAACTGCATATTCCAGATGAGGTCTTACTAATGACTTGTACATATGTAATATGATCTCTCTCTCTCTCTGGAGTCTATACCTCTTTTAATACATGAGAGGATTTTGCTCGCTTTAGAAACCGCAGCTTGGCATTGCATGACATTATTAAGCTTGTGTGTTAAATACAGACATCCACTCTAAGGTCCTGGCGATCCATCTTAGGACATTCCTCCTAGACATAATCTACCCTGATCAGTCTTCATTTATACCAGGCAGAGAAGCCAGAGATAATTCCCTCAGAGCTGTACATATAGCCCACTGTGTACAATTTAAGATACACTTCAATTCTAATTTTCTCTGATGTAGAAAAGGCATTTGATAGGGTGGGTTGGTTGTTCACGGAGGAAACTCTTAAATCCTTTGAACTAGGCCACAACATCCTGAGATGGAAAATGGCACTTTATAAAGATTGATTGGCCAGGATCAAGGTCAAAGGAGTCCTTTCTCATCCTTTTCTGATAAACTGAATCAGGCAGGGTTGTCCTGTATCACCCCTACTGTTCTCCCTTGTAGTTGAAGCCCTACTATAAAAAAAAAAAGTTAGGCTTAATCAGAATATTAAAGGAGTCAGTATAGGTTCCAGGGAACACAAACGTTCTGCTTATAAAGAAGATATTTTGTTCTGTATGACTGAACTGATCACCTCCCTGCCTAGCCTTGTGTTAGAGCTACAACATTTTGGCACCTGACCAAATTTTAAAATTAACTATAATAAATCTGCAGAAGCAGACTCCCTTCAACCTTATACTTTTAAGTGGCAACAGCAATTTCTAAAATAGCTGGGCATTCAGCTTGAAACTCTGATCATCTGCTTTATTCTAGGAATCATGTTCCACTGTTGCAGACTATCAACAGATCTGGAAAATTGGAGCAATGTTTTGTTTCACATGGATGGGTAGAATCAAGATGATCAAAATGAATGTGCTACCTAGAATTTTGTTCTTGGTGTAGCTAATACTTGACTTTTGTCAAGAGGACAGCCACACACTGATCAAAATTCAGCCACTCCCTGATGAACTGATCACATTTCATCAGTCTATGGCCAGATTAAGGGGTGCCTGTAAATGAAAAACAACCATGCATCTCTGATTAAAGTTGAATAATACCCCTGCTGTAAGTGTAAATCATTTACGTACCTACTAAACTCTCAAAGTTGGCATCACCCCATCCTGCCTTGTTGCACCCTCACTATTACAGAAGTGAGCTCCCTCTGATTCATGGGAGCAAACACAAAGTGGAGACTCCAGAGATATTGTATAGGTCTGAAGGGCAAAGGGGCCACCCACATACCTGAAATCGGCTAGGGCACAGTCAGCATAACAAAAAGAAAGGGGAGGTTTTTTTTAAAGAACAATAAGAGCATGTAAGTCTGACTAAAAGCTTTACATTTAAAAAAAAAATGCCTTTAATATCACTTTATTGCTCAGACTTCTGGCATTGCCTCTTCCTATTACATCCCACTCCTGTGGCTCCAACAAAATTCCTGGGAGATACAAAAACACAGTGGGTGATTTACTCTGAGTTCCTTGACTCTTTAAAATAATAGACAGTTGGCCCAATATATACAGAAGTTCACGTATTATGTTTACCTGGAATGTAATATTTATTAACTGCCGTTTATCATCCATGAAAATTTTACTCCTCAATGTTATGCTATTCAAAAGGACTCTCTTTACTGCTGCCAGCAGTGCTAATTAGTAAAACGAGTAGAATAGCTTGTGAATCAAACTAGCTCAAGGCTGAATGAGAATGGCATGCCCGGTATGTACCAAAGGAAACTGGCAATACACCAGAGAAATGTCTATTAATGGGTTATTTAAAAAGCAACTCAACTCACTAAACATCTGCTCTATCCCATCCAACTAAAAGATATATTTTAAATGAAACAATATCTCCAGCTCTTCACATGTGAAGTATGATGTTATCATATGTTTAGTCATTAGTACTAATAAATGTTTCAGTAAACTGAGCCACTTACAAGTTGTCAATGTGAATACTTACTAAACACATCACCCCGTTGTTTGCCTTGGTCCTGGATTCGGTTATCATCTGAAGGTCTAGTTGAGGGCTGTGTAGAGGTTGTATAAATGACTGTGGTGGTCGTTGGTTTTGGTGGAGGTCTTGTTACTGGTTGTGGTGGTCTGGTCACTGGTTGAGGTGGTCTGGTCACAACCTGGGGAGGCCTTGTTGGCGGCTGTGGAGGCCTTGTTGATGGCTGCGGAGGCCTTGTTGGCGGCTGCGGAGGCCTTGTTGGCTGGCTGCGGAGGTCTCGTTGCTGGCTGAGGAGGTCTCGTTGCTGGCTGAGGAGGCCTCGTCGCTGGCTGAGGAGGCCTTGTTACTGGCTGAGGAGGCCTTGTTACTGGCTGAGGAGGCCTTGTCACTGGCTTTTGAGGCTGCCTTGTCACTGGATTAGGCGCAGGCCTAGTCACTGGTGGTGATCTGGTTGTAGTTTTAGCAGTTGTCTTTGGATAAGGCTTGGCTGTAATAGAGGGTGAAGGAGGCCACTTAGGATGTCTGCCACCATAGTCTGGAATCCTGTTACTGCTTCCTTCACTACCACTGAGTGCACTGCCATTACCTCTAAAAATGTTTCCAACATTATCTTTACCTGGTAGGAAATTATGAGGCCCCAGTGGATCAATCACAACTCTGGGGGTAGCTGGAATTGAAGAGATTTTTGAAAATTAAGCAATGTGTATGTTATTTTTTTTAAAAAATTCAAGATGAGACGTCTAAAAGCCATTATTCAAAATGCATTTTTAAATGCAAATGCCTAAGGTTCATAGTGACAACTCAGGGAGCTAAATCGCAGTGAACCCAACTCACCACATATACTAACAGACATACAGTGTTGGAAATAAGTATTTGATCCCCTGCTGATTTTGAATGTTTGCCCACTCACAAAGAAATGTCTAAAAATCAAATGGTAGGTGTATTCTAACACTGAGAGACAGAATAGCAATAACAAATTCAAAACAAATGCATGTCTAACCAATTATGCACTGATTTGCATGTTCATGAGGGAAATAGGTATTTAATCCCCTATCATTCAGCAGGCTTTCTGGCTATCAGGTGTCTTTCATACAGGTAACAAGCTGAGTTTAGAAACAGTCTCTTAAAGGGAGTGCTGCTAATCTCATTTTGTTACCTGTATAAAAGACACCTGTCCACAGGAGCAATCAAACAATCAGATGCCAAACTCTCCACCATGGCAAAGACCAAAGAGCTGTCCAAGGATGTCAGGGACAAGATTGTAGACCTACACAATGCTGGACTGGGCTACCAAACTATCGCCAAGCAGCTTGGTGAGAAGGTGACAACAGTTGATGCAATCATTCGCAAATGGAAGAAACACAAAACAACTGTCAGTCTCCCTATGTCTGGTGCACCATGTAAGATCTCACCTCGTGGAGTATCAATGATCCTGAGAACAGTGAGGAACTTGTCAATGATCTCCAGGCAGCTGGGACCACAGTCACCAAGAAAACAATTTGTAACACAACGCCAGCAAGGATTGAAATCCTGTAGTGCCCGCAAGGTTCCTCTGCTCAAGAAAGCACGTCCAGGCCCGTCTGAAGATTTCCACTGAACATCTGACTGATGCAGAGGAGGACTGGCTGAAAGTGTTGTGGTCAGATGAGACCAAAATCGAGCTCTTTGGCATCAATTCAACACACCGTGGTTGGAGGAGGAAGAATGCTGCCTATGACCCCAAGAACACCATCCCAACTGTTAAACATGGTGGTGGAAACATTCTGCTTTGGGGGGGGGGTTTCTGCTAAGAGGACAGGACAACTGCACAACATCAAAGGGACGATGGACGGGGCAATGTGCTGTCAAATCTTGGGTGAGAAACTTCTTCCCTCAGCCAGGGCATTGAAAATAGGTCATGGATGGGTGTTCTAGCATGACAATGACCCAAAACACAAGGCCAAGGCAACAAAGGAGTGGCTCAAGAAGAAGCACATTAAGGTCCTGGAGTGACCTAGCCAGTCTCCAGACCTTAATCCAATTGAAAATCTATAGAGGGAGCTAAAAGTTCAAGTCGCCAGACATCAGCCACCAAACCTTAATGACTTGGAGAGGATCTGCCAAGAGGAGTGGGCCAAAATCCCTCCTGAGATGTGTGCAAACCTGGTGGCCAACTACAGGAAACATCTGACTTCTGTGATTGCCAACAAAGGATTTGCCACCAAGTACCAAGTCATGTTTTGTGAAGGGAATCATATACTTATTTCCCTCATGAACACGCAAATCAGTGCATAATTTGTTAGACATGCATTTCTTTTGAATATTTTGTTGCTATTCTGTCTCTCAGTGTTCCAATACACATACCATTCGATTTTTAGACTGATCATTTCTTTGTGAGTGGGCAAACATTCAAAATCAGCAGGGGATCAAATACTTATTTCCTTCACTGTAGGTCTTTACACCTGGCAGATTCCTATTCTACATCTATAGTCTTGACTCTGTTTCCCAGGAACAGTATATATGGAGTTCTTGCTGCATGAGGTTTAGGTTTGTTATATTTATATATGATGTATAAATTCAGAAAGTCATTGTATGTATATTAAATATAAATCCCCATAATGTCATAACACATCATGCTGTATTATGTTGTGTGTCAATATAAGCAAATGATTACAGTTTTCAGTGGTGTGCTTTTTCACTTAAAGCCAATTGAATACCTAACTTGTATTAACCTAATCCACTTAGGCTGGCTAAAATAGAAGATATTTGTCTTATTATTTTATTATGATGTGCTATTGTTGCAGCTCTATATGAAGCTACCCTTTTCCCTGGAAATTGAGGCTGCAATTCTCACACAGAGTGAAGTGCTGGAGATTGTAACTACTAAGTTCTGTGTGAAAGCAGCAGATCCAGTCTCCAGGGTGCTGATGTGCTGGTGTCAAAGGGCTGCTTCATATAGAACTACAAAAATAATACATCATAAAAAAAGTAATAGCAGCTACACTACATTAGAGTAATACAAGTTAAATCTGAACTCCAGATATAAAATACACATATTAATGCAACAGAATATTCAATAATATATTATTAAAAGTATATTTTTTTTTAATTAAAAGCAATGTAAGTATCTGCATGCGACTAGTAATTAGCTCGGTACAGTCCCTATACTGCAATACTGAGAGAGAAAGAAGGAGCACAAGGATCCAATCAGGTGTGCTGCAGTGCTCATGTGCTAAGAGAGGACACACTGAAAAGAGCAAAGACTGAACTGACGTAGAGATGTGCTCATCAATCTGCTGCTTCTCCTTTGACTGGTCAGTCACAGGCTGGGATCAGGGACAAAACCTGTGTTACTTAGTCCTGCCGTGAATGGATTGAAATTCGACTGGTTCAGCAGGGACTGGCCAAATTTCGATCCATGTATTGGCACTCAGGATGTACACATCTTTTGATCAACTTGTGTACAAAAAGCCTGTCAGCCTTCTACTAAACAATGAGTGAATTAGTGCCTCTGGCTATAGCCTGCAACACTAATCATTGAGTTCAGGGTCCCTGAAGCCCCCCCCCCCCCCCCCCCCCCCCCCCCCCCCCAGAGCACAATAGCACTGTGGGAGGGATGCCCCTTCAACACTGACTGCATTGATAGGGGAATCAAGAAATTTTTTATCCTTCCAACTGCATTGAAAGAAAAGAAAATTGCATAAATTATGGCTTGCCTTGATCAGGTCCCCTCAGGCAGGGCTGCTCAGAAATGTGTAAATCTCAGGACTGGATGGACAGAAAAATAAATGCTTTAAAATTTAAAACTAAAACAGCCCTCACGTATATGTTTTTCATGTGTACATTTAGCTGTTTGCCTGGAGTTCAGCTTTAAGATTTCAACTGGGCTTTAACATTCTAAAGCTAAAATGCATGTTTGTATAAAATATGTTTAGCACACACGACACCTACGTGTACAGTCTGCTCCATTTCCACGATAGCCTTCATTACATTTGCACTTGTACGATCCTGGTGTGTTGTAGCATCTTGCATAATTACTGCACTGATACTGCCCAGTATAGCATTCATCAATATCTGTCAAATTAAAGTGAAACATCATTTAAATAAACACCACATCAAATTTCATCTAAATGACTACATAAATGATAAAAGTTTATACAATGGTAATGCAAGAAAACAAACTACAAGTTGGTAAATTAAACAAAAAAAAATATAACATTTGCTGATAAAGATCTGAAAGCTTCACAGGCTACCAGCATTTGAGATAAAGTTAGTAAAGTATGACAGACTTCCCGTTTAGTTATCCAATATAGGAATAGTAGGAGCTTGTAAACCTCTTTTAGCCTATAACGGTAGATAACACCAACAGCGAAGTACTATATCATTACAGATAAGGACACATGTAATATGTTATTCTTTTTTGTACAGAGGGTCAGAAGATATTTGACCATGCATGCTCCCTTAACACAATTACATCGATAATGTAAAAAGAATCAAAATTTGCAAAATAGAGTGCGTAATTCTTAATTTTGCTTACCAAAGCACTGGTACTTCCCATGGGCATGGATTAAGTCATATCCAGGATAACACTTGCAGATATAGCTGCCAAACGTATTGACACATTTTCTAAACCGAGGACATACGGCTTTTCCTGTTGCACACTCATCAACATCTAAGAAACAGACATGAATGTTTAGTCTGGAACTGACTGCGTTTACTAAGGAATGAAGCATTTTTTCTACGTCATGTTTATTAACCAATTCAATACCGGGCAATTTTACACCTTCCTGCCCAGGCCATTTTTCAGGTTTCAGCGCTCTCACACTTTGAATGACAATTGCGTGGTCATACAACACTGTACCCACACTAAAATTGTATCATTTTCTGCACACAACTAGAGCTTTCTTTTGGTGGTATTTAATCATCGCCAGGGTTTTTTATTTTTTGCTAAATTAACAAAAAAAGACCGAACATTTTGAAAAAAAAAACACGTTTTTCTTTGTTTCTGTTATAAAATTTTGCAATTAAATAATTGTTCTTCATAAATTTAGGCCGAGATGTATTCTGCTACATGTCTTTGGTGAAAATAACCCAAATTAGGATGTATTTTTTAGTTTGTAGGAAAGTTATAGAGTTCACAAACTATGGTATAGATCCGAATATTGATCAATCCTGAAGTACTGACAGCCAATCTAATTTCTTGAGGTCCAAGAATGTCAGAATAGTACAGATATCCCCCAAATGACCCCTTTTTGCAAGTAGTCAGTCCGACATACTTCATAAGAGGCATGGCGAGTTTTTTGAAGTTGTATTTTTTTTGTCATAATTTTTCAGAAAATGAAAAAATAAAAAAAATTATTTTCACTATTTTGTTTTTACATACTGTCACCAGTGCAGTACAGCATCATCATATAACTGGCATAGCGGTGATCAGGGACACTGACTGGTGACTGTGAAAAAAAAAAATATATTTTTTTTTATTTTTTTTTATTATTATAAATTTTTTTCTTTTTTTTAAGATTTTTTTTTCATATTTCACTATGTCCAAAGTAGTACAATGTTACCATAATAACATTGTACTACTTTGGGGAAGTGATCAGTATTTTGTTTTACACAATTTGCTTATAGCAAAGAATTACTTTGCTATAAGCAAGCATTTACCTGAATGACATCGATTCATTCAGGGTTTTTTTTTTTGTGCTTAGCTGTGATTTGGCCACAGCTAATCACATGACATGTGCATGTGATTAGCTGTGACCATTCACAGCTAGACACTAGTATACAATGGATGGCATGAATGAAGCCATCCATTGTATACAACTGTCATATGACCTGCTGTGATTGGTCACAGCAGGTCACATGTGCCGGCAATGGGGCTGATACTCAGATCTGTCATCGGCCGTGTCCGAGGTACACGGCCCGTGACAGATTGCGCCACTGCGCGGCTCTGCAAGCGCACGAACTGCGCATGTGCGGATGTACGCCAAATGTCGGCCTCCTGGAAAGCTAGTGCATTTTTCCAGACGCCATACGGCTATTGGCCTGGCGTCAAATGGTTAAGATACTGATTCCTTGCAGAATACAAAATGGGGCTTCCCTGTTCCCTTTCAACCATTAAGCAACTCTGTTTCATGCCAGATGGGCTGGTAAGACTGAAAATGTATCTTTAACCTACCAGTTCTATTATTAACAGCAAACATAGTAAATGTGCTTTCCAAGCACATTTTATGCAAGTCAAGATTTGATACAATGCAACATGAAGCAAAGAAAACCATTAAATAAAGATACTCATACACAGAGTTCTGACCAAGTACAGGGATTTAAGCATCACATTTGTTAGCTGGTTAGTGCATGGGCTGGAAAAAATCCAGCATTTTGATCAATTTACTCATGTTAGTACAATTGTATAGAAATGTTTCCTAAATGATTAAGTGACATACCTGGCCAATCCCTGTGGAAGCTGGAAATCACTGTAGTAGGCTTCGCCTCACCTTGTCCAATCAGAGAACGCTTTGCAGTCATTGTAAAACAGCAAAGTGTTCTCTGTATGGTACCTCCTGTGTTCACTAAGCAGCAGGGCATCTGCTAGGCAAATGACCCCGGCTGGACCAATGACCCAGGCTGGACCAATGTGACCAATGACCAAAGCTGGACCAGTGTAACTATGCAAAAGTAGCCTTACCTGAAATTCAGCTTTACATTATGATGTATGCTTTTTTCTTATTTCTATATATTTTATGTATGTGTATAGCACTTACCTACACATGTTCGCCCATCTTGTCCAAGCTGCAATCCTGGAGATGGACATCGACAGCGAACCTCTCCTTTTACTACATCACAACCATACTGGCAATTTGCCATAGTGCAAGTATGTGCATCTGAGGTGAAGAGAGCATGCAAGTTTACTGTTTTTATGTATCTTTACAACATACAGCTCATTCAGTAAATCAAATGTATTTTATTTATCAAATCAATATACAGTATCTCACAGAAGAGAGTACACCCCTCACATTTTTGTAAATATTTTATTATATCTATTCATGTGACAACACTGAAGAAATTACACTTTGCTACAATGTAAAGTAGTGAGTGTACAGCTCGTATAACAGTGTAAATTTGCTGTCCCCTCAAAATAAATCAACACACAGCCATTAATGTCTAAACCGCTGGCAACAAAAGTGAGTACACCCCTAAGTGAAAATGTCCAAATTGGGCCCAAAGTGTCAATGTTTTGTGTGGCCACCATTATTTTCCAGCAGTGCCTTAACCCTCTTGGGCATGGAGTTCCCCAGAGCTTCACAGGTTGCCACTGGAGTCCTCTTCCACTCCTCCATGATGACATTACGGAGCTGGTGGATGTTATTGCGCTCCTCCACCTTCTGTTTGAGGATGCCCCACAGATACTTAATAGGGTTTAGGTCTGGAAATATGCTTGGTCAGTCCATCACCCTTACCCTTCTTTAGCAAGGCAGTGGTCGTCTTGGAGGTGTGTTTGGGGTCGTTATGTTGGAATACTGCCCTGCGGCCCAGTCTCTGAAGGGAGGGGATCATGCTCTGCTTCAGTATGTCACAGTAGATGTTGGCATTCATGGTTCCCTCAATGAACTGTAGCTCCCCAGTGACATCACATTTCCACACCTACTGGCCCGACCACGAGGGTGGTGGTTGCTGTGGATGTAGTGATGGTTGATACATCCCGATTTGGACTTCTGGTGGTCATCAACCACATATAGGGCTTGTACATCACTGCTACGGGGATGGCTGTTTAGCAGTAAGACTGTTCCGTGCAGTTACACAAAAGCACTCTGACTTTCAAAGACTTTTAAAGTGCAACAGTGCAGACCTATCATATATATAATTTGGTGGATGGCGATTGCATGAACTGGCAGGATATTACTTCATGGTCTGTAAGGAATTTAACTTAAACACACATGGCTTTCTAGATCCCCTTGTGGGGTAAAGGCTGAAGTGGATGCTTAGCACATATATCTCTTACACACATGGCGATGTACATGCCGCTGTATTGTATTTAAATTTGATGCAACTATGCAACTGCTATACGGAGGTTGATGATCAATGCTAATCTATTGGGACACTTCTCAATGATCTATGCATGAACAATAATACATCGCACATTGAATCTATTAGATCCTCATGAGGTGAAGAGGTAGTTTGTCCCCTTTACATCCAGTTTACTGGTGACACACATACCGATACTGGATAGATGTGTGTGGATTTACATACCATCATATAACGGACACATACATTTGTACCAACGAACAAATTGCTTTTTGCAGTATATTTGGGACTATACACCTCTTACTGTTGACATGGACAGTGGGGATTCCTTTCATTGATCTGTGTGCTTTAGTACATCACAGTCCAACAATTGGACTTGGAATATATTTTTTTGTCTTAATATCCTACTACCAGGTTGTCAATGTCCAATATTCCTTATTTTCTAGTATAGAACTTCCATCCTTGATTTATGGACTCGTCATGCCATCCCTACATTTATTTATTCCAGAGGGCTCTGCAATAAAGTTTGCGGGGATTGTTTTTTTTCTCAACAACAGTGTTACTCCTTCAGTAGTTAAGAGCAGTTCACAAGCGTTTTGTGAGTTCCCCATGTTGCAGTGTCTGTTGTTTGTTCATGGCTATCAATTGCAAAGTGTGGAATCAATGCCGTTTATATGCAATTCCAAGATGCATTCAGCAATGAGAGACATGTACATGCTATGCAGCTATGTTCATAATTAAAATATATTCTCTCTGAAGCAGACATCTGTGCCCTGTAATTGAAAGCACCGAGTTCTCACTTACACTGGTTCAGCACCCTTGCTTTCAAACATCGATAGTGCTATGTTATTTGAATGTCATTTTATTAATCTCTTTCATTTCTCTTTAATAATCCTATTCTATTAGCATATATCAAGGTATTTTAAAGTACTTAATATTACCAGAACACAAATTAGAACAGATTTGTTCTATTTAGGAAATTGGAACAAGACAAGTTTACATCTGTGCAGGCAGTCATTTGTTTCTACGATCAACCAGTATTGATCAAATAATAATGCAATGCAGTAATGCTGGACATAGACAGTAGACATACTTGAACATGATCCATCAGGCATGAGCATGTATCCATTCAGACAATAACACTTGTAGCTTCCATATGTATTCATACAACGGTATTTGCAGGGTCGAGGCTTCAGTCCACATTCATTTAGATCTAAGCAGCACCAGGATGAAAAAAGAAATGAGTATACAAACTTCTATGTGTAATTATTATGATTCATTATGTTTTTGTGAATGTTTAGGACATGAGTTTATAATGAACTTCAGTATGCAGCAATGAGGTTCTAGCTCCTGCAAGAAAACATACAGAAAAATACAGTATATACATTGCATTCATGACCCTTAAAGTAACTGCTAGCATGCACAGATTTCAGGTTTAAACAACCAAATAAATAAACCTTAATTAATGTATATTTCCTAAATTGTAAAAAATACTCACTGATCTTTGTTTTTGAGAACAATCCACAACTTAATCAAAAACAGTAATTTTGAGAATGTAAAGCACAATGAAATTGTAAAATATTTTTGCTAACACAATTTTAACAATATAATAACCACGTAAAAACAAACACAAAACATACATTTTAGGGGTTAGGAGCCAAGTCCTATTGTGCAGAATTCTGAAATAATGAAGTCTTTAGTAGCCAAATCTCCACCACAATTAAATATTTATGAAGCTTTAAAATGGGTAGAGAAGCATCTCATACCAGAAGTCTTGGGTCTGATCACAGGCACAAATTCTTGGGTAATACAGTGAGACGTTAAATAACAATGAGAAGCTATTTAAGTGGGAAAATAAATGTGTGTATGTAGAGAAATAATGGACAAAAGATTATTTCTCATATGTTTGAAACTCAGCTTTCTCAAGGCTGTTTAGTTATCTCCTGCAGAGAGTGAATGTAGTCATAAATAGTAATATTGAGCACGTGTAACCTCTGCAAGGGGGCATGTGCATTGTGAAGGCAGTAGATGGCTCCCACATATAGCAGGGGTAACTTGGAAACCTTGTAAGCATTGCAAAAACAAGCAGTGACCCACCTCATCTTGGACCTGATCTACCTTTGCTCTGCAGCAACTGGAGGTAATCTTGTCCTTACAATTGATGCTGTATTCATCTTGCAGCAACAACCAAAAAAACAGATAGCCACCTTTAAGCATAGACATATAGGGGTTTATTTACTAAAGCTGGAGAGTCCAAAATCAGACTCCCTTCTGCATAGAAACCAATCAGCTTCTAACCTCAGCTTGTTCAATGAAGCTTTGGCAATGAAACCTGGAAGCCGATTGGTTTCTATGCAGAAGGGAGTCTGATTTTGGACTCTCCAGCTTTAGTAAATAAACCCCATAGTCTCATATCCAATTTAAAGGTACACCCCTATGTCCATTATTAAAGTCTAAAAATCTTCAACTATTGGTTGCTTCATTCAACTATTAATAAACTTCAAATTAAGCAAATCTGTACACTGTAAAGGTTTACTTAAAGTATTACAAAACCCACAACAATAAAATCAGTCAGTATATGCAGTGAAACATGCTTGTTATACTCACTGTGGAACCTAAGTTTGGTGTGTATTGCTAAAGAGGTTTTTTTTTCTAGGAAGAGTGCATGTGATCAGCACAGAGCCAATCAGCACTGTCCAGAGGTCAGGGGTTCTGCATCCTCTTACAGCAGAAAAAAACCCCTCCTACAAGCTTTAACCAGTGCTCAGCTGGACACTGATAGAAGTCCCAAGACTGCTCTAACTGTTGATGAGAAGAGGTATTTAGCAGTTTATATTTACTAAAATAATTGCTTTTTCATGTAGAGTGAACTGTGGGAGACTAGATAGAGTGAATGCAGGGTCTTGGGTTTAGTAGCACTTTAACCTTCAGGCTATGTAGAAAATACCCTAAGGCACCTGTTCTTATATTTCCCATGTTCTGATTCTGCCCTGATCTGCTCCCTAGGCCTAAGAATTGAACTGTACTTCAGGGTATAAGACTTAAAGCTGGCCATAGATGGATCAAACCTTGACTGGTTCAGCAGGGACTGGCTAAGATTCACTCCATCTATGGAAAAGCTAGTTGTACTGAAGTCGATCCATCAACTGACTTCAGTGCAACCAGCCCATCGCTTTTTTTGCATGTGATCACTGCTGGAGGCTATAGTTGCAGGCAGTGATCATTGTGTTCTCTGGCAGGGAATGCTCCTCACCGACAGAATACAATAGCCCTGTGGGAGGGATTCCTCCATCAGCACTGATTGATGGGGAAATAAAGCAATTTTCTTTCCTGCAACCAAATGCATCATCTATGTCTTGCTTAAAGTGTTTCTAAATCCAGAACCCTGCATTCACTATATCTGGGCTCCCACAGTACACAGAATAATGGAAATGTAAGTATTTTAGTAAATATAAACTGCTAAAGACCTTTTCTCATCAGCAGCATATAGCAGTCCTTTGACTTCTATCAATGTCCAGCTGAGCACTGGTTAAAGCTTGTAGGAGGAGTTCTCATTCTTCTCTGACTGTCCTATGACACTACATAACCCCTGACCCTCTGGACAGCACTGATTGGTCCTGTGCTGATCACATGCACCCTCCCAAAGACAAAAAGAACCTCTCTAGCAACACACACTACACTGAGCATTTACAAAGTGCCTCCTAGGGCTCTGTACTATCAGCAGATGGATTGAGGACAGTAAAAGAAGGGGAGGATCAGAGAAGTCAAGATCAAGCAGCCTTTTTACACAATGCGGAGGATTAACCCTTTAGGTTCCATAGTGAGTTTAACAAGCAGGATTTACTGCATATACAGACTGATTTTACTGCTATGGGTTTAGTAACACTTTAAGTGACTAGAAATAAGAAGCAAATAGTGGAAAATATGCCAAATCTCCCTACTATCCGTTTTGTAGTAGTTCACTATAGAGCCGAGTAGCAATGGGCCTACCTCAACAGTCACTTAATGGGTCCAAAGCAATCTCAAATTTAAAGCTAAAATCTGGGGAAATATAAAAGTTCTTCTTCGAAGTGGAAAAAAAAAAAAAGGAATGGTGCAGGAAAATCACAGCAAGCATCAAGCGGCTAAAAAAAAAAATCTATAGTCCTCAAAAGAAAAAGAGTCCATAATATAAACAGTCCATAAAGTTCACAGATCGGAGAAACACCACGCTAGAGGCAGCTCCCCATAGAGTGAAGCAAATCTCTATAGGAATATCCCCATCTGTTCCCTTTTCTTCCTTGAAGTGGGGATGTACTCACACTGCAAAGGTTAACCGCTCATTTTTGTCTAGGGGACAGAAAAGCACTTTTGCTTACCCAATCCTCCACTGTCCCCCAGAGAACACTCCAGCAGTGGACTGTTTCCCAGCATCCTCACATCCAATGCAGGGCTATGTGCCTTGCATCAGTCTTGATGACGTCAGAGGACATTAGACCACTGGAGCGGAGAGATGAGGCTGCCAGGAGTAGTTTAGCAACATGTCCTCTAGACAGAAACACGCATTAAATCCTTGCAGTGCAAGCACAGCTAAACTACATGGGAGCAGTGTTAATTCTGTTGACTAAAATTAGACTAAAACAATTCAAATGACTAAAAACTAAAATGACATTTTAGTCAAAGGACTATGACTAAAACTAAATGAAATTTGACATCACAATTAACACTGGTTATATCACAATGGCTAAATCTGTGTCTGTAGTGCATGTTCAAACCTAAATACCATAAATAATACCATGTTATAAGATTTTTACTCCAAGAGTATATAATGAGTTTGGAAAATCTAGATAAATGCTTAAATAATACATTACAATTTAACTACATCCATTAGGTTTTAGTCAATTAAAATGATTTTAATCGACTAAAATGTACTGGAGATTTCAGTCGACTAAAATGTAAGAGATTTCAGTCAACTAAAATACGACTAAAACTAAAAAAAATTCAGATGACTAAAATACAACTAAAACTAAAATGGAATTTTAGTCAAAAGATTATGACTAAAGCTAAATCGAAATTTGACGTCAAACTTAACACTGTAAGGCTGCTTTACTTTTATTGGAGTTCAGCTTTAAGGCTGCTGGGGCTTATGGGAAGGATTCTCTGTGACATTAGAAACTTAACTATACAGTATTATACTTCATTATTAGGACAGTGCTGTAACACAGGGAGATTATAATACTTCTTTCTGATGACGAAGTAGGGATTTTCACCACTTAAACACCAGCAGCATTAAAGCAGGAACCATGACTTTTTGTTTTGGTATGGGGCAACTGCAAAAGTGAACTGGTAAGCTGTCTCTACATATGACACTTTCTTCTACCACATAAATGAAACTTACAAAAGCACAAGGAGAAAATGCAAACTCCATGCAGATAGTGTCCTGGTCAGCATATTATTCTGCGTGCCTACTACATAGGCTGTGAGTTAGTCAATTAAAAAAAAAAAATCTGGTTGTGTGACAATATTCAGTCTAATGTAAACAAATATGATCACATTTTAATATTTATAAAAAATATGAGTTTCCAAAGTAATTACGTATATTTTGCCACTCATGTGATTACACTGATATATAAAGGTAACTGTAGGAAAAACACTTGCAGTTAACTCAAACTACCTTAGCGGCCCATAAAAAGTTCACACCCACCAGCTTTACAAATCAGAGTAAGAATTATAAAAACTTGTTTGACTAAAGCTGTAAATATGGTTAAAATTCAAATAAAATTACAAATGAAAGAAAATTATGGCCACAAACTATTGTCATAAAGGGAGCTGGAAATTATTTGTGCATTTATTATGTATATTTTTCTTATGTATTTATTATGAGGACTAAAACAAATAGCATTTTTTTACATATGGAAAAATGTGACATATTGCATATTTTTGATATTTTGTATTTTCTTCTGAGGCAGAAGATACAGCTTTAGGGTCATTTTCAGGTTTTAAGCTTTCAGTTCGCTTCTTTGAAGTTAAACGATTCCCGTTTACCAACCACATTAGCACAAGCTGAAATATGCACACAAAACAGGATGATTCATCAACAGTGACGTTCCTTATATGGCTGCTCAGTCCAACATATCAATCAAAAAAAGCCAGATGAAGGCTGCTTCTACTGTGACATCTCTGTAGATAACCCATGGCTCTCTGGAAAACCTTTGTATGTAAATGCAGACTCAT